CTCCCCGCCCTCTTCCTGCAGATCTGTCCTCATTCCCCCATATGCCATTAACTGCACTTCCAAATCTGAATAAATAGGAGCTCTCCTGTCACAGTGTTTATTTTTTAATACTTGCTCTGCAGTTATCTACATCGGGATATTTTGTGGCTCTGCAGCATTTATTGAGCACTATATTAAACTGGTGTAAACTCAGACAAAATGCCAGGAGAATGATAAACTAGTGACATTTCTGAGTTTCTCAGTAGAAAATGTCTACAAAGGCTGCACTGGGCTGATTGTATTTCAGAAGGCTGATGTTGCATTGCCAACATCTCCAGTATACTAACTCAGCATGGATTTTGCTACACCCATATTCTTGGCTTTGGTGATCCTTAGGTTTTATTCCAAACTGGCTTCTAAATGTGAACAACAACTTAATATCCTGGAAACAAAAGCAGGAGGCTGCACCAAGCTTTATCTAGTCTTCATTAATGGAGCTGGTCTGGCACAACCTGTGGACTGTCCCTTCATAGTTTCCCCCAGAAGGGATGCACACACATAGACTGGGACTGAGGTTTTTCATTTTAGCTGTTTGCAAATTAACATATTTAACATTTTTAATACCACTCCATGGCTTGGGGGATCAATATTAGCTTTATGCAAGAGGTGCCTCATTGTTGAGTGTCTACTAATTTTTTGTTTAATTTTCTACTGCTCTGCTTTGGAAAACACCAGATCTAGCTTATTGACTTATTAGCAGATGCTTGTGTGGAAGACTCTCTTTGATCTAGGACTTTGGGACTAGGACTTAACCACCAGCTATTCTTATTTAAACAGAATGTTCTACCCCCACTGCCCATTGGTCATATTGTTGTGTATCCTTTAAGATTCAGTCCATTTTCTCTAAAGGCTTCCTGGACTTTCTTTCTCTCTCCATCGGTAAACTTCAAATAGCACTCTGAACACTAGAACATTAGTGTCATTGGATTACTCTCTTTTCTGTAGTTGTAAACCGTTAAAGGCAGGGAATCTGTAGCCCTGGTTCTTCTCACACGATAGGGGCTTGGAACATTTCACTGAATAAGAAAATGAATGTGTAAATAAGTTAGTTTTACTTGTATAGTTGATATTTGGGCCATTGAATATTTTTTGGTCTATTGACTTAGGATAATAAATGATCTTGATAAATCATTTCTGTTAGTGGAATACTCATTATATACCATGACATTTTTAAAACAAATATTAATTCTAATTTCTTAGGTTAGTATTAATATTCCCACATATTTCTTGAAACAAGGAAGGAGGCAGAGAAGGAAATCAGCTGCACTTTTTGTGTCTTTTCAGTGTACCATAAATCTTATAGGTACTTTAAAGTGTGTATTCTAGGAAAATGAGTTTAGCCTGTTTTATGCTGTGCAAAACATATGCGTAGTTCTAGAAGTCTCAGAAAGGAGACCCACTGTGGCTTAAGGGGCATCCCGACTGGGAAGCCTACTTTCAACTTGAGTCATGTGCAGATGAGCCCCAGTCATCAAAGCTATCAAAGTGGAAGAAGGATGAGAAGGAACTCCGGGTAGAAATACCAGCATGAGCATATGCAAACTCCCCTTCCTCTCCATGAAATCCAGTTCAAGAATAGAATTTGTTTTCCCAATTACACATAAAGGCAATATATGATTAGTGATAAAGGGATACAAGATACAGCCACCTAAAGCCTTTTTCTATAATAGAAAGGATTCTGGACCAATTTTTTATCTTATTTTTATAGAAAGATTCTTTACAAGTTCCAGATTGTATAACCTAGTTTACTGAATATATAGAAAATATTGACCAGTGTTAAAATGTTGTCCATGTATTTATTGAAGAAATATGCTTTTTTATGCTTTGCTAAACACCAATAATCCCATCATAAAAGTCATTCCTTTTGAGAGCTCAGTGTAGGAAGAGAGTTATTTATGCAAATCAAGTAGCAAACCATGATGTACCATGAGAGTGATATATAGGGTGATATCAAAGCAAAAAGCAAGGTGCCCAACCACTTGTGCTAAATACTGGAAGTTAGAATTACAAATATGTTTGGATAGAGATGCTCCTAGGCAATCTTGAAATATTCTGTAAGTAAAACCATCAAAGGTTCATTTTAGATTAAATCCCAAGTTTATGCCCTTTTGCTTTGATGATGACATCGTGAAGAACAAACACAATAGTTAATCTTAAAACACACAGACAACTACCAAAGTCCGTAGTCCCAACTAAAACATAGCTGTGTATGTGGGCCTTGGTAATCGTATCAGTTGATGAACTGCAGTGATATGATGCTTTAAGGTGTCTACTCAATGACAGGATCATCAAAATCAGCACCCGCATGCCCATTTCACATTGTTTGGCTTTAATTCTCTGGAATTCACCAAGGCCACATAGTAAAAGCAGTGATGAGCCTGTCATCTGTGACTGCTGGAGGTACTTCTTGAACCATTACAGAAAAAAACTCTTGGAAACATTGCAGTTTGATTTAAGTATTCAAACATTATTTTTATAATTGTTTTACTAAAGATGGGGGAATAATACAGTAAAAGTTTGGTTAGCTACATTAGATTTTAGAAAACAAAGGGCTCTATTTTGATTTTTGTATCTTTTACTTTAGTTGATGGGTTGAGGGGATTGTTACCTGAAACAACAACTCCTACCCTTAGAGATAATGCAGAGATCTTGACAAACTCTGTGACTGTTGATCTGGAGATAGGAACACTTGAAAAGATGCATCTAGATTCGGGAAATCATTTTGCTACCCTTTGACACTGACTGTGAGCCAAGCAGAGAGGCTTGCTAAGTGGTCAGTGTGGTGCTTCTGGGATGCCCGGCTTCTCCTGGGATGGAAATGTGGCAGACCTTCCAAGGAAGAAACTCAGAGCAGCAAGCAAGAGGGGCAGGTGAGCAACAGGTCACTACCCATTGATATTTAGAAGAAAAACAGTCCAAAACTGAGCTATAGAGTTGAGGGTTGCTGAGCATCATGCTTTTTTTTTTTTTTTATGCTCATGGCTTGTGGCCTTGTGAGAAAAGGTCCTCCGTGAATCTGGGCCAGGGTTCAGTGTGGGAAATAAGAGGGCCACTGTCTGTGGACTGGCAATTGCTGCAGCGTTTATCTGAAATCATGGCAAAAGGGCCATCTTCTCCTTATTTAGGCAAATTCCAATGGTGTGAACTATCCAAGCTCATGTCACATGTCTCTTTGTGGGGAATTATTAAGCCTTCCTAGGAAGTGTTTGCTTCATGGGAGAAGAAGAAAACTGAATGCAATGTTTGGAGAGTAGACTCGGAATTTCAGGCTCGGTATCAATTAGAGAAACTCACTGATAATAGGGCCTCAAGGAGACTTTTTTTTTTTCCACTGAAGATGAAGAGGGACTGAGAATATGAATTCCAAAAAGAAGAATTCTGGGAATGCCCCTAGAACACTGATTACTTCTTATTTCAAAGAATTAACAAGAATTTTACGGTTCCTTTCTCCCTCTGCTTTTCCTTTTCTCTCCTCACTCCTCTCTTGTCCTTCCTTTATTCCTTTTTTATTTAATCTTTCCTTGGCTCCTTCCTTCTATCATTCCACGTTGGACTATCACATGTCAAAGCCTATGGATATAAAGTATCTACAACAAATCTCCTTGGTAGCTCTGTTTAGGGGGGAGTGAGTGTGTGTGTGTGTGTGCGTGCGCGTGCGCACGTGTTTCTGTGCATGTGCATAGCAGTTGCTTTTACATTTGGAAAAATACACAAAAATAATTATTTATAATAAACTGTGATAAGTATCTTATAGGGAGTTGTAGCTCAGCACTAGAGTGCTTGCCTCACCCATGTGAGGCACTGGGTTCAATTCTCAGCACTGCATATAAATAAATAAATAAAATAAAGGTCCACCAACAACTAAAAATATATATATTTTAAAAAATAAATATGTGCTGATAGGAGGAAGTGCTTTTCCTGTTGTACCTGGGACATATTTATATAAATGACTTTCCCATCATGTTCAGGGGTCCTTTCATGGAGTGGCACATTCTTTGAGTATGTAGATGAGGCAGCAAAAGTGACATGGGGTCTGTCATTTAGGGTTTTGGGTACCACAGGACATCCTAAAGGGGATGTGTACTTTCAAGATGTGTCTTTTCTAGTATGAATTGAATGGCTGTGCTGAGTGGCAGAGGGCAGGCAGGGGGACCATTTGAAGACATTTGACTATTTTTCATGTAGAAAAGGAATGAACTGAAGTTCTGCAAATTCTGATTTTTTTTAAAGTGCACATAGCCCCAACTTTAATTAATCTTGCTGTATAAAAATTCTAGAGATAGAGTATGACTCCTATATCATTTATGTAATGGAATTTAGGATGACTCACTATAAGATTATACCAAATAATAATTGCCTCCAAGGCATTTTAGGCTTTTATTTTACTTACACATGTGGCTTCTGGCACAGATCTGAGAGTGAACCGCATCTGCACATTTTGGTCACACTGGTTCAACAATGCAGGGAATGGTCACTCTGCTGTAGTTGCCACTTCTTTGGTTGGGTCATGTGATTTGTTCATAGTTCATATGGCAGTAGTAGGTATATCTGCAAATTTCAAATAAAAAAATTAATTAGATGAGTTTGCTATGTAAATCACGGTTCCAGTCACCTAGCTAAAGCGACATGCCTGGCATCTACCTCATAAGTCTTGAAAGTTCAATTTGCTGCCAGCAGGGTCACTGTGGGAGTACATGCTAACCATTTGTGGGGATTATTTTCAAGTCCGAGCTAACACCACCCAGTATCCTTGCCTGAGTTCAGCCTGGCCTTCATCAAACAAAGGTTTTATTATCATTTTTATTTGAAGTGGAAATTTTCCTGTCAGACTATATGCATAAATAGAATAGGCACAGCTGAGGATTGGGGAGCCTGTGGATATCGATAGACTGTGGGATGCACCGAGGCACATGGGAAGTTGTTAATGCAGATGCGTCTTTTTATGCTTCTCCATGTTTTAGGTCTGTGATGGGGTCGAACAAGGAACCAGACCTGGTGCATCTCGAGGCCAGAACTGTGGATGGTCGTAAGTAAATGAACTTTGTCCCAAAGTCCATAGTCATGTTAGCTCTGTCATGAACTAATCTGTCATGAACCAAGTCTGTGTAATCACTGTCACAATAATATAAGTCATTTGGAGTTATGGACTGTTCCTGTCATCAGTAAATCAGGATTGTCTCAATAGTCTTAAATCTGTATATTAACATGCATGTTTAAAATAGATAGATATATTAATACTTATGTATGTATAAATACATATTATCCAGATTTAATTATACTTGGATAGTGGCATTACTAGCACCACCCTTGCATCCAATCGAGGTATCTTTCAAGGTAAAGAGAAGATTCCAAAACTGAGTTCCAAAGTATTTAGTGGTTTTGCTGCTGCAGTTTTATTTTTATTTTTTGGCTCATTATTTTGTGAAATACCATCCAGGCAATGACTCCCTGAATTGTTTAGAGCTTCATGAAACACCTGGAAAAATAAGAAGAAAGAATCATGCTCTGTGTCCCCATCATGAGCAGCAGAGGGGAAGTCACCTGAGTCAGTCACTCATCCTCTGGTTCTTCTTCTCAACCCTAGGCATTTGTGCCACAGTGAAGGGCTACACTTTGTGGAGGTTGTGGCTTTAGATACATGGTATAGAGGGAGGTGGGTTGCAGATCCACAATTCAAACCCACGTGTGAATATCTCCAAGATCAGCTTGGAAAAATTCAGTTAAACCTTTATACCTTGGTTTCTTTGTCAGTTAAATACACTGATAATAATGATTCTTTTAGTAGCTAACATTGATTTAGAAATTGTCCTCTACCAGGAATTATGCTAAGCACATCATGTACTTTATCAAGACAACTTTATAGGTTGCTATTCCCAAAGCCTAGGAAACTAAGTTAATGATTTAGCTAAGGCATATGGTAAATTCATAGCGGACAGCAGTGTCTATTTCACACTCACTATTCAGTGAGATTATATAAACCAAAGCATAGGAAGGAGTGCACACAGTGGTCAGCACTGAGCCAGAGTGCTGATGGACTTTCCAAGACATTCTCTGTTTCTAAACTGTTCCTCACAATTCTCAAGAAAGCTCATTACTTCTGGTTGCCTCATTACTTCTATATAGCTGTCTTTGGTTCTCCTGAACACAGAGGCAGAGGAAACCTACACTTGAAGAGCTTTGAGAAAAAAAAAAAAAGAAAAGGGCAGGTCACCTGTGCAACTCAACTCCCCAGGAGCCATATAACCTCCAAGACCCCCATTTGAGATTTTTCATTTCTAGAGGTTTTTGTTTCCCCTTTGGAGACATGAATACATTCCTTGGCACAGTTAGCTGGAGTGCAGAACAGGGTCTGAGACTGACTATGACCTTCTTCCTATGCACCCAGGCAGGCCTGTGCTTTGTAATGAGCTCAGCAGTTCAGAGCGTCTTCCCATCTCTGCAGTGGACTCTCTCAGGGACTGACCCTGGAGCACATGATACTATCTTGGATTCCAAGGTCCAGATGTAAACACAAGATGAAGATCAATATTTTCTGATGTGAAAGTAAAGGCATAAACAGTTTAAAGCTCTCTATTAAATTCCCATTGCTCTGATGATTAGGAGCAAAGTCCTAACTAACCTGGTGCCGGCCCCTTTCCCCAACCTAATTTATGTTCTGCCTTTCCCTCCCTCCTGGCCTGAAGGACTTTGGGCTTGACTTCAGTTCTGGATGCATAGGGGGTTCTGTCCTTGCCACAGGGCTCTCGTTCTTGACATTTCCTCTGTCTGGAAACCTTCTTCCATTGCCTCTGCCCTACCAAGTAAATGTAATGAATCACTGTAGATGGGTTACCCTCAGGTTAAGCACCTGTGTATTAGGGAAGACTTTCTTAAACTCCCATTCTAAACCAATTCCTTCTTTTGTTTGCTTTTGTCCAAAATGTATTCTTTTTTTTTTTTTTTTGGGGGGGGTTTTATTTCTGATTGAAATAGTATATTTCATTGATGTGATTATTCGGTCATAACTTTTACTCCCCACTGGTCTATGAGTCCCATGAAAGCAGGGAACCTATACCTTTGTTCAGTTTTTTTTTTTTCTACAGCACACACCACAGTGTTTCCATGTAGAAGGAGCTCACCAACTTCATGCTGAAAGAATGGATGAATAGTTGATCAGTTGTCAGTTTTACCACCTAGCTAACTCAGGTTGCCTGAAAATTTTGGAGCACTGTCTCTCAAACTTTACCAAGCATACAACCCATCTAGGGATCTTGTTAGGATGTGAATTCTGATTCGGTAGGGGCCCAAGATTCTGCATTCCTAACAGGCTCCCTGATGATCCCATGCTTCTGATCTGTGGAACCTGCTTTGAGGAGCAAAGTTCCATACCAGGAAACTAATGAAAGAGCTTTAGGGTCTGTCTCCCATGACTGCACCCTTGTTTAGAAGACTCTGGATGGAATTGGTAGCATCCCTGATTGCTTTTATTTTCAGGCTTTAGGGGATAATGCTGCTTTCTGGCTTCTGGCATTGAATGCACATAAACCCATATCCAAAAACAGGTCCTCGGCTCTCTCTGATCTGCACATTTTCTCATACCTAATATTCCTCTGCTCCCTGAAGGCATGGTGGTCGATCACACCAAAATGCCATCTCAGGCTCAGCCTTCCCAAGGCGTGAAATACATCAGTAATAACTTTATTTATTTTATTTTACTTTTTTTTTTTTTGGTATTTGTGCAAAGGCAGCATCTTCAGAAACTATCCAAGGGTGAAAATTCAATAAAGGGATTTAATTTGAAAAGTTATCCCTGTCAAAACAAAACAGAAAGAAAAAATTACCTACCAATTGAAATAAAGGATCTAAGCATAATACCTGACCTGTCTCAGCATGAAAAAAAAAATGAGATTGTCTTAGTATCATATCTCTTTTTCCTCCTTCAGTCTCTCTCCTCTTCTCCCCTCCCCCTTATCTACTCTCTATCTCCAAGACTGTTATTACCAGGGCTCAAGGTAAAAGAAGCAGAGAGGAAGAGGAGAGAAGGCAGAACACAGAGAGGGCAGAGCAGCAGATGTTGCTGTTGCTGGCAGGATTGGAGAGTGAGTTTATCAAAACCAGTCTGGTCCATTTCTCCAAGAAGTCCAGTGGCTCTGTTCTCTCCTCTTATTTCCTGATTGAAACAATTCCTTGTTTTTTCACCTCTTTGTTATTATTTTATACAAAGTTGAAGTATATGGAACCATTGTTTATATTATAAGTGGTACATGTTTTATAATATGTTCTAAAACCATATGTATATATGGGTGTGTATGTGTGTGTGTGTGTGTGTGTGTGTGTGTGTGTGTGTATATATATATTCATTTATTTAACTTTGAATTTTTAAATTTTAATGTGTTTAAGAATTTTGTAGCTTGATACAGGAAAAATACCTCATTTGCTAGTTTGGCTCATCTCTATAAGATGGGTTGCAAATCCTTATCTGGGTTTGTTATTCAGATTTTAAACATGGTCTCATTTCATATATTCCTGTCTTAAAATTGATAATTAATTTGCCAGAGTCCCTGTGTTTGAAAGGAGGTGAGCTCTGAAAAGCTTTTTGCTCCATGAGAATCTATGACTAGCACACAGGTTTCTTACCAACTATGATCTGAACTGTGGATGTCTTGTACTTCACATCTGTGACAAGGATGCTTCTCTTTCTTGTGTTAGTCACAGTCTTGGGAGGTAAGCTGAAAAGGGCAAGTTCAATTACTATCAATCAGAGGAAGTATTATAGGAAAACCTTGAACATATTTATCAGGGACTTTTTTTTTATTGGCTCCCACTTTAAACTGAGGACAAATTGACAAGTCCTCATTCAGGATGCAAAGACTTTTTTTGAACTTTAATATTTCTGTGTGGATGTGGGTATGCGTGTGAGGTTGTGCATGTCATTTGTACCCAGTACAACACTTAAAAAGAAATCCTACATTCTATTGACTTATCCCACATAGCTGTCTTTGTGTATAATGTGTAATATATGTTGTTAGAAAATGTTGACTGAACTGCTAGATGCAAACTTTATAAAAAGATAGATCTTATTTAATCTTTGTTCAACATATAAAACACAGCTCCAAACTTAAAACATTTAAGGTTTGTTGTATTCATGAAAATATTTGAGTATCACTGTGTAGACATGTCTTCTTTATGTAAATGAAAATTATACTAAGATTTCATCTCACTCTAGTCAGAATGGCAATTATTAAGAATACAAGTAACAATAAATATTGGCAAGGATATGGGGAAAAGCATACACTCATACATTGTTGGTCAGACTGAAAATTGGTACAATCACTTTGGAAAGCAGTATGGAGATTCCTCAAAAATCTCAGAATGGAGCCACCACATAACCTAGTTATCCCCCTCCTCGGTATATATCCAAAGGATTTAAAATCAGCATACTACATCGAAGCAGATACATCACTGTTTATAACAGCACAATTCACAATGGCTAAGCTAGGAAGCGAACCTAGGTGCTCTTCAACTGATGAATGGATAAAGAAAATGTTACACAATGGATTATTAGTCAGCTATAAAAAAGAATGACTTTATGACATTTGCCAGTAAATGGATGGAACTGGAGACTATCATGCTAAGTGAAATAAGCCAGTCTCAAAAAGTCAAAGGTCAAATGTTTTCTTTGAATGCAGAAGCTAATTCAAAATAAGGGGGAGGTGATTTAAAAAAAAATATAAGATCAGTGGAGTAGACAAAGGGGGATGAAGAGAAGGGAGGAGAGACTGGATAGGGAAAGATAGTGGAATGACTCTGGCCTAAAATTCTTATTTATGCATCATGAACATCCAACAAGACACTAATTAAAATAAAAACTCTAAGTAAATAGCAGAAAGTTCAGTAGAGTAGAGGGAAAGGAACAGGAGGTGGGAGGAAAGGAAGATGAGAGCAGGCGCTGGGGACTGAATTTGAACAAATTATATTTCATGCTTTTATAATTATGTCAAAATGAATCACATATAAATGAAAAGAATCAATAAAATATAAAAGAGA